ACCAGAGAGAGCAGCCGAGAGAGAGAGAGAGAGAGAGAGAGGAGAGAGAGAGAGAGAGAGACGAGATGAGAGAGGAGAGAGAGGAGAGAGAGAGAGAGAGAGAGAGCGAGAGAGGAGAGAGAGAGAGAGAGAGAGAGAGAGAAGAAAGAGAAGAGAAGAAGACAGAAGAAAAGAAAGAGAGAGAAATACAAGAAAACGAACGAAAGAATCATATGCCAATCACCTCTCGACATCCACCCTTCCCACAATAACAATACATCATACAAACACACCATGCAAATCAAAGCCGACTTCCCATTCTATATTCAACCACAAAAAAAGAAAAAAAAAAAATCATTATTTCTCTGTTTCTCTTCCCTCCCTCCTTCCAACTCCCTCACTCACTCACTCACCCACTCACTCACTTACCCACTCACTCACCCCCTCCCTTCCATCCTTTCTTCGAAAAAAAAAAACTTCATTAAGTCACCAATTCAAACAAAACAAGAACGAATCCACACAAACTCCCCGTCAAACATCTTACCACAACAACCATTATGTCTTTCTTAGCGGTATTATCAGCGTATTAATAACCCGATTAAATCGACTTGCCATGAAAGCTTTTAAAAAATTCCTTCGTGCATTGCAACTTGCCACTTAACGCGAACTTAAATCAAGGTCTCGGTATGAGAAACAAACAATAATAAGAATATCTCTTTGATCATGATAATAATAACAATGATAAAAAGTATTATTATTATTATTATTATTATCATCAAAACTTTTATTGTTATCATTATCATTATCATCATTACTATCATTATAAGCACTAATAACAATAAAAAGAGCTATTATTATTATCTTCAAAACTCTTATTGTTATTAATCATTATCTTATCATCATTATCATCAACGTTATATCATTATCATCCATTATCGGCACCATCAATGCTATGATATATATAACAATAATGTTAATAATGGCAACTGTTAACGATGACGATTGATCATCATAGTCCTAATGATAACGATAATAACAACAACACAATTAACAACACCAATAAAAGAAAAGCAACCTCAATACCCAAAATTATAATAAGCATAATAAGAACAACATCTTATCTATCACAACACAATTAACAACACCAGTAAAAGAAAAGCAACCTAATTGATAAACCTAATTAATTTATCCTAATTAATAAATCACTAATCATAATAAGCATAATAAAAACATCTTATTATCTCCCCCCCTCTCCCTCCCCCACTCATATTTATATCCAGGGTGGGGAGGGGAGGCAGGGGAGGGGAGGGCGAGAGGGAGGGAGGGAAGCGAAGGGGAGGGAAGGGAAAGCAGGAAGGGCAGGGGAGGGAGAGGGGAGGGGAGGGGAGGGAAGGGAAGGGAAGGGAGGGCAGGAAGGGAGGGGGAGGGAGGGGAGGGGAAGGGGGGGAGGGGAGAGAAGGGAAGGTAGGGAAGGGGAGGGAGGGGAGGGGAGGGGAAGGGAAGGGAAGGAGAAGGAAGGGGGAGGGAGAGGAGGAGAGGGAGGGGAGGAAGGAAGGGAAGAAGGAAGGGAAGGGAGGGAAGGGAAGGAAAGGGAAGGAAGGGAGGGAAGGGGGAAAGGGAAGGAGGAAGGGGAGGGGGAAGGAGGGAGGGGGGAGGGAGGAAGGGGAGGAAGAGGGGAAAGGGAAGCGGAAGGGAAGGGAAGGAAGGGAGGGAGGGGAGGGAAGGGAGGGGAGGAGAAAGGGAAGGGAGGAGAGGGGAGGAAGGGAAGGGGGGCGGAGGGGAGGGGAGGGAAGGAAGGGGAAGGGAGGGGAGGGGAGGGAAGAAGGGAAGGAGGGGAGGGAAGGAAGGGGAAGGGGAGGAAGGGAAGGGAGGGAAGGGAAAGGAAGGGAGGAAGGGAAGGGGAGGAGGAGGGGAGAGGAAGGGAAGGGGAGGGAAGGGAAGGAGGGAGAGAGGAGGAAGGGAGGGGAGGGGAGGAGGGGAGGGAGGGAAGGGAAGGGAGGGAGGGGAAGGGAAGGGAAGGGAGGGAGGGAGGGAGGAGGGAAGGGAGGAAAGGGAAGGGAAGGGAAGGGGAGGGAGGGAGGGGAGGGAGAGGAGGGAGGGGAGTGGAATCTGGAATCTTCTTAGAAATTTACGATCTTCCGAGTTTGCTCAGACCTCGACCCCACACTTTTTTCATCTTTTTTTTCCTTTCTTTGCTTTCTCTTTTCTTATATAATTAATTCATATGAAATAATCTCTCTAATTCTATGCTCATTCATCTCAGTTTACCTCTATGGATTGTTCACTCGTCTGGAAATTCACTCTGGGTCTTGGTCGTAAGATTCCCTCTAGGATTTGTTCACCCGTCTATGATTTTCTCTAAGAATTGTTCATTTATCTGAAATTCTCCCTGAGGCTTGGTCATTCGTCTAAGATTCTCTCTAAGGACTGTTCATGCCTTTGCGATTCTCTCTAAGGATTGTTCATTCGTCCAAGTTTATCTCCAAGGTCATCCGTCTAAGATTATCTCCAAGGTCATTCGTCCAAGTTTATCTTTTAAGGTCATTCGTCCAAGTTTATCTCCAAGGTCATTCGTCTAAGTTTATCTTTAAGTTAATTAGTCTAAATCTATCTCTAAGTTCATTCGTGTTAAGTTCATCTCCAAGTTTATCTCTAAGTTCATTTCGTGTTAAGTTCATCTCCAAGTTTATCTCTTAAGTTCATTCGTCTAAGTTTACCTCTAAGGCTTGTTCATCTATTTACGTTTTCTCTTAAGGAAGATGCCACGATCAAATTCTCCAATCATCCTAATTAACAAATCAGTACCATCTCAAGCCCGCCAGATACATCCTCGCTCATTCTCCCCCCCCCCCCCCCATCCCCCTCATCCTCATGTTCATTCCCCCGCGATTCTCTCCGGGACGTGTTCATTCATCTAAGATTCTCTCAAGGGATTGTTCGAATCTCTCCGGGTCGTGTTCATTCATTTAAGATTCTCTCAAGGATTGTTCATTCCCCGCGAATTCTGGCGTATTCATTTAAGATTCTCTCAAGGGATTGTTCATTCCTCCGCGATTCTCTCCGGGTCGTGTTCATTCATTTAAGATTCTCTCAAGGATTGTTCATTATTCATTTAAGATTCTCTCTTGTTCATTCCTCCGCGATTCTCTCGGGTCGTGTTCATTCATTTAAGATTCTCTCAAGGGATTGTTCATTCCTCCGCGATTCTCTCCGGGACGTGTTCATTCATCTAAGATTCTCTCAAGGGATTGTTCATTCATTCATTCGTGATTCTAATTTAGGGTCGTTTTTGTCATTATCTTGAGCTCATTTATTTACCTAGAATGGCTTTTCTATTAGAATGCCAAGGGACTTTGTTCAGCGTTTCCATGGTGACCGAAGATATCTTTCTCAGCAAAACTTACACCTGAACTTGTTATAATTGAGTGCATTTCAGCCAAGATTTCGAGGAGTATTTGTAACGAAAGCTCTACTATCACAAGAATCAGAGCTCTTAAATACAGACATAATGCGAGAATGAATGCTAGGTAAGAATAAATGCTAGATACCTGTACAACGCAATACTCTTTCATGAACCTAAACATCTGACACAATGAAATATATCGAAAGATGGAAAAAAAAAAAATATACACGTCATAAACCCCGTTTGTTCGAGTGCTACAAAAAAGGAAAAAAAGGAAACAGAAAAGAACATACACAATGAAATATATCGAAAGATGAAAAAAAAAAAATATATCCACGTTCATAAACCTCGTTTGTCTCAAGTGCTACAAAAAGAAAATGGAAAGACAGAAACAAAAAAAAAAAAGGAAAAAACATAATGAAATATATCGAAAGACGAAAAAAAAAAAAATACACACGTACATAAACCTCATTTGCCTCAAGTGCTACAAAAAGAAAACCGCAAAGACAGAAACAAAAAACAAAACGAAAAAAAAAAAACAAAAAAAAAAAAAAAACACACGAAACACGTCGAGCCACGGACGCAAGACACAAGACGCCCGACATGCGAACCCGACAGCCCTCCGCCACGCAATATTTTCATTTCCTCGAGACTTATCACTTACCGGAACCTCCCCCTCTTCCTCTCACGCGCGGGGCTCGCTAGGTACTCCGACGCGCACGATAAACAGCTGATCCATGCGTCCTCGTCAGAGCCCTGTGCCCCTTCTCCCTGGGCTGGGGATCGGGGGGGGGGGTCTTAGAAGGAGCTTTTGATGTGTTTACTTCTTCTTAGACATCCTTCGTTTATCTTTTGTTTGTTTACTTCTTAGACATCCTTGGTTTATCTTTTGTTTGTTTACTTCTTCTTAGACTTCACGGACTATCTTTTGCTTTGAGGATGTCTTTGGTGTACGTGAATTGCGGGAAAAATATTTTGAATTTGTAATTAAATACGTGAATTGCGAAAAAAAAATGTAATAAATTACGTAAAATTGCAAAAAAATATATATATATTTGAATTTGTAATGAACTTTTTTTTTTTTTTTTTTTTTTTTTTTAATGTGAAACCCATTCTTTTTTTCTAATATGGATTCATCGACAGGATGTAGATAACAATTTATAATATTATCTCGTCAGTCGAAAACGAAGCAATTACTGTCACTATGCAAAATAAAAAGAAAGATAAGAATTTTCCTTCCAATTCAAATTTTCTGATGCGTGTAATCTTAAGAAATAAAATGGGTCTGTTAAATAAAATCAAGGTTAAAATGAGATGACGGGGAAGACAAGTCTATAATCTACACGTGCAGGAGACGCACGCGAGTAAATAATGTTTACGCGTGTTACTTATTTGTGTAATTCTAATTGTTCGTATTTATTCTCCATACATTTTATTTACCTTCTGTTCATTCAAGGATGCACTCCCGTACCTCCTCTACTCTTGCCTGCCTGTCTCGGTGGCTGTGTAATCACCAGCGCTTGGAATTTATCCGCTGTGCTTTTTATTCTCTTTGCATTCCTGAATTGCATGGGTTGACCCACGACCCACACTGCATATTGCATAACTCATCTTATCCTCATGTCAACTTCCGCACATACTGTACCTGAGACGACGCGTCCCTCGTGGCTGCGAGGCTGGGCTGCTTGGCAGAGACCCAGGGGCCCCGCTGCACCACGTCCCCGCTCGGCCCCACCGTCAGGTACTGGAAGCCGGTCCTCGTCGAGGCCCTTTCGTCAAGCTGGCGGCGGAAGAGCCTCCTGAGGCGGGCGCTGGTGGTCTCGCCCTCGTCCTCCTCACTCGAGTCTTTGCACTCCGCCACGGCGCCCCCGGTCGCTATGCTCTTCTCGAATTTCCTGGTGAGTTTCCGCACCTTGCCCGTGAGGACCCTTCTGGCGAAGGGCACGGGAGGACGAAAAAACCTCGGGGGCAGAGTGGGCGCCGCTTCCGCTTCGGGAGCCACCGACTCGGACGAAGTGGAAACGGTGGAGAGGCGCTCCGGCCTCTTCCTGAAGCCCCGCGCCCCGAACAGGTAGAGGTGCGCGATGTCCGACGACTTGCGGAACTGCGGCCGCGTCGGGCTGCGCTGCGCCGCCGCCACGGGCACGCGGGGGCTGCCGTCGAGGGGGAGGCTGTCCCCGCCCTCCTGGCTCATGTCCAGCCTCGGCGTGTACGCGTCGATGTTCCCCGTGGGCGGCGGCGTCCCCGGGGGCGAGTCTTTGAACCTGGCGTCCCCCGCGGCCCTGGGGGCGTCCAGCATCAGAATCTGCTCCTCCAGCTCATCGAGGGTGATCGACCTCTTCTTGTCCGGCGCGGCGAGCCTCGGGGAGCGGAACCTACCGGCGGCCGCGTCAGCCGCCGTCGGGGGGAGCGTTCCTGCACGGATAAACTGGTCTTGGTGAACCTCTACCTTAACGGCCGTCGTGCTCGACGTCCTGGGCGGGATGGGCGGCGGCGTCGGGTTGGCCGGAGGCGGAGGCGGTGGTGGAGGCGTGGGCGAGTACTCGCTCTTGGACATGACGGTCCTCGAGCTGGACCGCGGAGGAGGACTCGGCGGCAGACGGGACAGGCGGCGCTGCGGCTGCGGCTGCGTCTGCGGGATGAGCCCGTTCATGAGGGGTCGAGTCGGAGACAAGCTCGTCGACCTGGCGGACGCCGGCGGGTCCGAGGATCTGGACTCCAGGGACAGCGGCGGGGCGTCCTGCGGGGCTGGCTCGACGGCGTCGGCCCTGCTCGCGGACGACTCTAGGGAGTCCCTGGCGAGGGCCTCCAGGCTCTCCGCGCTGTCCACCCTGACGAGCGTGTGCAGGAAGTCGTCGATGGAGGTCGAGTTGACCGACTGCTGGGAGCCGGCCTTGGCCAGGGGGGCGGCGGGCTGCTGCTCCATCCGCAGGCGGCGCCGCCTCCGCGTCTTGAGGATGCCCTTCAGGCGGGGCTTCTCGGGCGACGACATCAGCTCCCTCTCGCTCGCCTCGGTCCGGAAGCCCCCGCTGTCGTCGCTGGAGACGTCGTCGTCGGCGCCGCTCTCCGGCGGCTCTCGCGCCCGCTTGCGCCCGAACACGATGCTCGTGCGCCGCCGTTGAGGCGGCGGATGCGGGAGTCGAGCGAGGCGCCCGTGTACTCGAGGGCGGCGCCCTGCCTGCCGGCGTGGTTCTCGATGTACAGGTCATCGTAGCTGGTGATCTTGCCGCCCTCATTGCCCATAGTCCCCACACTGACGCCGCCGCCCAGCTCAACGACGGCCGCCGCTCCCTGCACGCTGGCGATGCTCGTGCGCGGCGCGAGGCGCACCCGCGGCGCGGCCTCGCTCGGCGGGAGGCGTCGGCGAACGCTCCTCCGCCTGCTACGTCACGTCCCGGGATCCGAGCAGATGCTTGAGCTTGACGAAGGCCTTCATGTCTCGAGGCTGGTCATGTCCGCCATAACAACTCACCAGGACACGCAGCGCAGCTCGTCACCTGCCATCACCGCCGTCACGGCTGCTGCGTTCCCGCGCCCTGCCCTCGCTCCGGCAGCGCCCTGGATGAACAGCGGGGATGTCGAGGCGCGACGCGAGGCTACTAAGTCCTTTAGTTTCTCGAGGAAATGCACTAGTGTCCGCTTTGCCACGAATGACTGTCTCAAGCAGTGAACATCTTGCCTTCACACCTGCACAAGAAACGCCCCCGAAAGACCGTCAGACACTCCTCGCGACCTCCCCGGGCAAGGCCTCCTGGCCCAGTGACCCCGAGAGGCCCGACCCGGCGCGGAGGGCGAGGCAGGGCGCCGCGGCCAGGGTGCGAGGCCGATCCGCGCGCGCACGCACCCCTGGCGTGCGGAGGCGCCCCCTGTCGCACGCCGTCGCCCCCTCCTCGGGCTCGGCTCCCCCCTCCCCCATATCAGCCACTCAATATTCACTCTCTGCGCCTTCGCCATCCTCCGGGCGTGAGTCACCGCAGCTCTCATTATCAAAATAATTATCGCAGTTCGGTAACGGCTAAAAAGCGGACGAAACCCGCCAGAAGGAAAGCCTGAGTAAAAGACGTAACAAAATGCAGCGCAAGCACACACTTTTGTGCTTCCTGCCCGGGGCTTTCCTC